ATCATTAGTTATCATTTTTCTCTGATTTTTGAGACATTTAAGACTTTTAGCAGTGACCATGAGTTGCAATAGATAATGAAGAACCATTACTCACCTCCTCGGCTGCCTGCTGTTTAACATCTTGTAGTTCCATCTGTGTGTCGGTAAGCTGACGTTGCAGCTTCTCTAGCAGTAACGTCTGCTTCTCCAACTGCAACATAATAAACTTACATTTATTTCTAGCTTAAAACAAATTAGAACTACTGTCATCAAATTGCCAGTTATTGAAATCCGGAAGCAGTTTCCTAGAGAAAAGGGCACATTTTTAAAAAAGGGTGCAAATATCAATGGGTCAAGTGAAAGAGGAAAGGCGAATGCTACACATAATTATATTTGCGAGTAAATGTTACTTTTATTGCCATCCCAGATGAAGGTACCTGTTAGACGAACTACCGAGAGGGAAGCGATTCACCAACTCAAATCTAGTGCATTGACATCACTGGAATATGCACTACAAATTCACAGCACATAATCGCATTACTCAATATTGCATATTTATGAAGGTTCGTAAAACCATCAACTGGTCATGCTGCTGTTGTAACAGGAACTTGCCTGATGTGTTTTTGTATGCAGGTTAGCCTGAACAGTGACAGTATCCGCCTGCAGTTTATCTGTCATCTTGTAGTACTCTAGTGCCTGTTAACCACATCACAAATCGAGAAATTACGGGTGAACATCGATCCATGACATCCACGGTGATCTTAGTCCACGAAAACAGTTATTATAATTAGCACTTGTTCACAGTATATGTAGGGAACATTTAGTTTCTCCACACTCGCTCTGTTACAAGTTAGGAAGGTCAGTATAGGAGTTAGCACACACCTCTTGATGTTTATATATTTTTTATTTTATTATTAATGTATTTGGAATCCATTGTCTTTTAGATTGTTGTTTATATTCTATATAAGCTGTCAGAATGTTGGCTATATTTACTATTTATTTTTCAGTTACAAAAACACAGGAGTGTCAGGACTTACATTATTATTTTGAAGAACAAATTGTTGATGAATATGTTCCGTCTCTTCCTTCAACATTTTTACTGCAGTGTCTTTTAGTTTTATCTATAAAAATCAAGCACAACATAATGCAATTAATATATCTATATTCCATAGAGTATAGATACATTCCTGACAACACTGGTAAATTATTTATTATTTATACAAAAATTACAAACTCATAATAGTAAATACATGTGTTATAAGCACAGATTATATATGCTTTAAATTTACCAGGAAAATCACAGGCAATACTCCACTTGACTACATTAAACAGGCTAAAAAATGGTTAATTACAGATTTTGAAAATGAAATGAAATATTTGAATTACAATAACAGGAGAGGTTGAATTATACCCGGTTTAATGATCTACACCCTTTCTACTTTTCTGTCGCTATCTAGTTGATTATTAAATTTAATGAGAAAAGTTTGCTTACAGCTTCTATGCACTGCTCCTTTTCTGAGAACAGGTCTGTCATCTCCGCTGAAGCTTCCTTTAGCTCACACTCCAGCTCCTCCATGGCTTTCTCTTTGCTATCCAGCTGCCTCCTTAGATAGAGGACCATCTTGTGTGTGTCCTCCAGTTCCTTCTCTTTCAATCCCAACTACAGAGTGGAAAAAAGATTTACAGAACGTGCAAAAACAAATTGGTATATACATGCTTGCTTGAATTGTCCTCAGGACTACCTGGATTGAATATACACCACTTCTTACCAATATAGATTAGTGGATAATTTTGCTCACAATATTGCAGTACTGGTCCTAGTAATAGTCACAGTATGTAACAAATCACTCACCAGTTCTGTGACTTTGCTGTTTTGGCATTGCTGTGTTTCGATTGTAAAACTTTGGTCTATCAACTGCAAAGACAGCACCAAGGGAATTAGGGAGTACTTAAATAATATAAATGGAATAGACAGGTTTTTTTACCGAGTAACAAAACAGAAAGGAAAATCACTATTGTAGTTAAGCCATTGTAATGTATATTGTATCACTGCATACATATTCTAAAATGGTACAATTCTTAGTTCACATAGCTTCTTCGTTTAGGGCATCAGACCATACCCATATAATATAATAACATAATATAATATAATATAATGCATATAATATATAGCAATATTAAATATATTATTATATATTATATGTATTATATATTACTTTATAATGATTATAATGATTGAATGAACATTATATACAATTCCTCTCCATCTCGCCCTGCTGATCTTGCAGCGTCGCCATCCAAAACAACCTCGTTGTTCTCGCCGTGCTTCCGAGATCGCGACGCCGTTCTCTCGCGCGTTGTTGCCCGGCGCTCGGCGAATGGCGGGGCCGAGCTGCTCCCGCGTCGCCCGAGCTCCATCTTCAGGTGCTTAGCAACGGCTCTCTGCCTGCGAGACCTGCAGACGGTACAAACATCGACTCCTTTAGAACCGCGGGTAACATCGTTTGTACTAGCGCTGGGTGAAATCTTCGTATTTCACGAAATAAATGCTAACTCTACCAACATTGGCGTTTG